GAGGTGGAGTGGCGTGCCCTCGCGCGCGGCCCCGTGGGCGAGAGAGGGGGCCGCGCCCTGGCCCGCGAAGCGCCTCACCTTCACCCCGCGTTGCCATTGCCAAGCTGCCTTGTGCCATCTCGAGGAGGCGGCCGCTAGGCGCTGCTGGCCGCGGGCGCGCCGACGACGGACTGGCTGTGGGCTGTAATCGATGACCAGCCACGCCTCCGTGCTGCCCTCGAGGATACCGAGCCGCTTCATGGGCTCGCGCAGCGCCTCCTTTGCCTCCGCGGTGCTTGTCACGAACGCGCACTTGCCGCCGGGCCCCCTCGCCAGGGGGGGCCCCGTCACCTCCTCCAGCACGAGCGCCAGCAACTGTGGCGCCCCCGTGAGCTCCGTCCTGAGGTGCTTGGCTGAGTGGAGCATTCTCAGGGCGATGCCGTCCACGTACTTCACGATGCGCGAGAGAGGGAAGCCCTGGTGCACCAGGTCCAGGGCCCAGTAGAGGAAGACCTTCAGCAGCTTGTTCGAATACTTGGATCCCGCTGACAGCTCTACGGGCGCGACGATTGGCTCGGCGGCGACTGTCCCTTCCCGTCTGATGTAGCGGGGACCCGCGAAGGCCTCCAGGGCCAGCCCGACCACGTCCAAGGGGCACTCCATGACCTCCGCTAAGACCCATGGGAGGTTCAGCGAGACCTTCTCGTACGCCCTCGTGATGTCCAGCGAGGCGCTGACGGAGCTGAAGCCGCTGTCCTACCATGCCTCGTCGTCCAGCAGGGCCCGCCAGACAGCCTGCTCGCTGCTTCTGCCTGGGGCTGCCCAGTCGTAGTTCCTGCAGTGCTGGGCCTCCCAGCGCTCCATGTGGGCGGTCCGAACGCCCCCCCGTGCACGCGCGGGTGTGGGGAGCAGGCAGATCGGCCTGCCACCTCCATCGAGCTTGCCCAGGATGAGGATGACTTGGTGGTGGACGTCGTCTGGCCACGTGCGCAAGCTCTCGCACCGCTCTAAAATGACGCCCAAGTAG